TGAGATCATACATTATCACAAGGGGAGAGGAGACAATAACATATTTACCCAGCTCTCTATAGGATAAATATCATGAAGGTGAACAATAGCTCGGCAGTGGGCGACCTTCAGACTTGCAACGTTCGATTACATTTCGCTGTAGATGTCATATCAGGGGAAAATAAACGTCTCCTGAAAGCTGCTATCTAATAACTGATATGCATTAACTTATTATGACGGATACAAAGTGAATTTCTAAAGCATTTAAGTCTCAACGCAAGGTTTATGTTTCTTCCAAGTTTCTATAGTAACACTTAGGTTTCAATAATTTGTTTAGCCTTTTATCAAAAACATAAGACCATCATAAAAGTTATCTAATATCGGTTAATTTGTGAAAACTCTCAAAGTTAGGAAGAAAAACTCGTGTGTTAGGTCACACTACTCTTTAGGAAGACCTTATACTACTTATGTAATTAATTTGAAGTAATTTTTAGATAATTCTATTTCCCAATTTTTCAATCCTGAACATTAATATGATATAGAGATAAAATGAAGACCCCCGAGAATATTCTTATAGTTATCTGATCATAAATAATTCAATACTACTGCCGGTTTTAAACATTCGGATGACAAATAGAATATTCTGCAAGGTATCAGACGTTTTGTTTATTCAAATTTAATATATTCATATATGCATATTACTGTAACAGATCTGTTATATTGTTTATATTCCATGCGATGTAATGATATACAAACATTTCCTTCGACCTCTTGAACTAACCATCTTTAGAAGGGTCTATGGTTTTATCAAGACAATGATCGAAATGAAATGGAGAAACGTCATTCTTTTAAAGCACTGTAATGTGCCAACGCAAACTAAGCGATGTTAGTGAATAACATAACTGATATCTTGATTTTATGTCTTTAGAAAAAATATTCTTAAGAGGTGAAAAATGTTTTTGGAACAATCAAGGATAGTGGTAAAAATTACACTTGAAACAATAGATGCTTAGAAAATCTCGTCTGAAGTCATTTACATTGATATGACACAAGAGAGCGAGGAGATACCGCTAACCTAATTTCTCTACAATTCTATTCATTCTTGTCTATTGTACACGCCATTTGGTTTGTGTCTTAGAGGAAATTCCACAGATAGGGTGGGAGTTGTAAGAAACTGAAATGTGGGTAAGGTTTCACGCTGGTGGCATTTCTTAAAGATACCAACGAGCTTGCATCCTGGGCACTTCTGAACATTGTAGTAAATCCATTATCCCAAACCATTTTGGCCTACTCAAGGTAATGTTATTTCTGAGCCCAATGGTGCTCCATTGCAAAATCAAGACTCGGTATAATTAGTTTCGGTTACAGTATAAACATCTACCCTATCACATCTACATTCTAAGTTGTTAAATGACCCAGATAGTGAATTATTAAGCCAGGAAAAAGTAAATTATTACTATTATTAAAAGCAATCTTTTATTATCATCCTTTAGTTGATTAGTACAGAGACAAATGTCAAGGGTAGAAATCATTATTATAGTCTCTCTTGCCCTACTATACGACTTCTAGTGTTCACAGTTGTATTGTAGTCTATTACAGCACAACTATCAATGGTCATTAGTGTTCAGTCTCTGACTACATCACTATTAGTGCACAACTATCAATGGTCATTAGTGTTCAGTGTCTGACTACATGACTATTACAGCACAACTATCAATGGTCATTAGTGTTCAGTCTCTGACTACATCACTATTAGTGACCCCATTTACCAACATTTGTAAGGTACAAACTGTGGACAATGTCATTGTAGGCTATAGATCATAAAACACTTTTTTGGCATCTTGTACAACATTTCTCTCCTTTGTCTGGATTCTGCAGTCTAAACAATGACATTTATTGGAATTTTAACGTAAACTTAAGCGGTTATTGCATGCATGTTTCTCTGAGACATTCTTTGTGGGGTCATTGTCAGCATTATCAATTTTAACCCAAACTTTTATTATTCAAGGACAAGCGAAAAACGTTTGCTGATCAGACAATTTTGGAATAAATCCAAGATAATGGTCAATCTGTATTGGCGAAAAATGATTAATTTATTGTAAACTCAAGAACAATGTGCATGTATCTACCTAATTGCCTTGGCTATTATTGGAACATTCATTATGTCTGTTGAAATTGTTTTAAAATGTGCCAAAAAGTTTGATGTAATTATGAGTTATTTAAAGAACGACCTTGGAAATGGAATCATGTAAGAATGAATTTTAAACTGAGACGGAATTCCATTTTAATAGAGTTTTGTGTAAACAAAGCGACTGGTTTCTACAACAGCCTTTCTTTCTGTATACAAAGGCAAGGCATATTGAATAAACAAACGCAACACTTTAACTGTTTCTTAAATTGAATGCCGAGAAATGTATTTTCAATTTTGTTTAGTCCCCTTTGAAGGGAATGGGTTATAAAACGTGAATAACGACAGACGTTCCGTAATTCCACCTCGCATGTCAGCTCAACAATTTATATACCTCACATTCCAAAATAGAGTCGGTGTTAAAGTAAAGCAAGGCCCATCTCGGACATTACAGCTCTCAGACCTGAGTTTCATTCCCCAGAGAACAATGGAATAATTAGCCATTAACAACTTCACAATAAGCTGATATTAAACAAATATACTAGCACGTCCATCACCAGATCAAACAACACTGTGGCTAATATCGTTAATTGTCGCAGAGCTGTCTGTAAACAAAATGGCGACCATCGCCTTAAGATTTCCTTTAGAAGGGAATTATGAGGCCTAATCTTATAATTGAAGAATATTAGCAACATGTGCTAAGAAAGGGTCCTTTCACTATAGGATATTAAGTCTAATGATAGTTTACACATGAATAGGACTTGAGACATTCCCCTTGGGTATTTTCTTCAGACGTGCTATCAAATGAGCAGATGGTATATTTGCCCGCCATTATGAGGTAGTAACGTCTGCTCTTAGTGTTATTAAGAAAGTTGATGACAGATAATCAGGATAACAATTTTGTTGCATGCTGACAATTATTTTTATGATAATAACGGTCTTGTTAAATACGTCTGGTATAAACTGACCCTCTGATTTGTTTTATAATCAATCATCTTACTATTCTAAAGAGCTTATGTCAGTATGTCTGTCGATTAAATACAACATTTGCCTCCATCGGCTTAACCCAATTTTGTTTTCCAATATCCGGAAAAAAATCGCTCTACTGCGATGACACTATGGTGTAATTTAGCATTACGGTAACACACCATACTAACGCTGTCAAATCACGAGAAAAGTGTCATGTACTTCAATAGATGTATTTGGAGATACTTGGAGCAGTCGTGTAATGATGTTTTTGTCATTGTCAACTTATTCTGCATAATGCCAACAGGTCGTGCTGACACATTAAAATGTTACAACTAAGAAGAGCCTTAACCTATCTGACAAATGGTTTATTAGCAATCTTGTCTCCGTGCGACCAATCGTTGTCAATCAGAGTCATAGAGAAGCGTTTTCATCAAAGGAAGTTCTAAGATAGCTCTATTAAGAACAAATATCCACTTCTGAAAACTTGTAGTTTAATAAGTCTGGAATTAAACGTTATAACTGGAGTAGTCAATTGAGCAATCTTAACCGCCAACTCCTCGTTCAGACAGAAAAAAATCAATTTAACAATTTAGACGAAGCCATAGAACATGTTTCAGAGAAAACCTTCGTCTTTTATCTCAAATTTTATTGAAATGATCATCTCCAGTTTGCTTTCTACCGATAATGGTTATGTTCAATTTAAATAGTGCAATGTCAGTGTGAAAATCGATAAGATAACGTTGGATAGCTCCGGGATGAAAATATCTGCATGATCTGATATCTGAAAAGTAAATATATTCATTCTTACACGTAAATAGCAGATTATTAAATACACCACTCTCAGGAAATAGTTATAATAGTCAGGATAATTTTCCATTTCAAGTCTCAAGTTAAAGATACTACAATTCAGATTTTCTGGTTGGACGTACAATAGTCTTAAAGTCATCTTTGGATTGAAGCCCCAGCAAAATACGGTCCGAGGACCTAATGCAAGGCATATGCCACGCTCTGAGAAAATACTTCACTGAATGCAGAAAACGCACTTCATTATAATTAAATCTTTGACAATATTTATGGCCCTCTGACATATATAGCATTATTCTTTAGCAAGTTCGGGGTCTATAAATATATCTTTGGTTGAGATATTTGGGCAGGTAAAATCAATTCTCAGGCTGTAATGAAACACTTCCACGAAAAACAATATTGAATTCTTCTGGATAAATCCAACTACGAAATAGCAACTCACTCCAAATGTTATTTTAAAAGCAGGCTTAACGAAACATCGGTATGGCTTTTCCTTCATTCCGTACTTAAATAACAGCAGTTTCTATCATTCTCGGGAATCAATAAATTGAGTAATAACGTTTCTGTTGAATTTGACATTCAAATAAATCAATGGTAAAACCCCAAGCTTTTCAATGAGTCATGTCTCATCTCTCAATTTCAAGCTGGAAATGTTTCAACATTCGACTAAAGGCATAATACACATCGACATTAATCACTTTAGGATATTATTTTTTACAAAGAAAAGTATTTTGGAATACATCAAATATATTTAAGATTAATTCAAGTTCTTTCTGTTAGTTTCAATATATGTTCATAACCAGGATTGAGTGCCTGAAGTAGAATACTGATACAAAGAACGATAGAAAAAACTGATTAAAACTTCGGATTGTCTAGACTGCCGCTCATTGAAGAACTTGTTCTTTGTCTAACTGTACAAGTATCTTAACGGGGGATTTTCATTCTAAAATGTGGTCAGGAAAACTATTACGTTGGCCACTCTCGTATCTTGAAATACATGTAATGTTTAGTTCGTAATAGTAGTTCTTAAAATGACCAAAAGCACCATTATTTAAGCATTTTCTATCTTAAGCTGGAAGTTTTATGATTTCATTTCAGACTTTTTCATGAGTAAAGTTAAATGGCATTCACATATACCAATCTTTATTTTGCAGGAGCCGTGCCAGGACTGTGTCATTCTACTAATTTAACTGTTGGACATGCATATACAGTATTCTTAGACTATGATACTACCAATAAAAAATATACACCAACATTTAAAGAAGATAATGTTAATGATCAGTATTTAGAAGAAATATCATTGGTTTGTGAACATGATATCAACTATCCTAATGGTAAGAACTGAACACATCATCTTTTTATACCATCCTATACTTTGCAGGACTGTTCTCTATAGGAAGCCCTTCTACAAGTCAGTAAGAACTGATTCCGGGCTTAGGTGCGAAATCGATATCCGTGAAACACAAACGTCAAGTACTGGACATTGAAGAGCTGCATTTCATACTATATCGCTTTGGTCGTTTTTTTTTAAATGATATTGCCCGAGAGATATTATCCTTTCCTGTCCAAACTTGATACAGCCTTGCTTTGGACAATTACTTTGTGAGTAGCTATGGACAATTTACTCGAAGTGAAAGAAATATTAAAGATATATATATGAACCTAATTAGATACATAGAAGTACACATTGGAAATGTCAGAATACATGAACATGAATAAGCGATATGTAAAAATTCTTTCAGGAATTACTGAAGATACTGCTACAATAATGTGCCCAGAAAACTATCCAGATTATGAAGGGTGTTTGAACTATGTTGAACCTGAACCAGAAGATACTAGCAGCAATGGCATCAGCAAAGATGTAGTTGATAATGAAGTTGAAGTTAAACCATTGACTGAAGGTCCACCAATCGGTAAGTGTCCTTAATCTTGGAACATATTCACCTGGAACTTCATGACTAACTTTTTGACCTACATTATGCCATCAAATCTTGGGAGTTGAGAAGGAGGCTGACTTGGTTCATGCAGTTATCATTTGAAGACCGTCAGTAGTGGTCACTCTAGATTGGTCATTCAGCGTTCCTTGGTTGGCTTATTTGGTCAGTAGATGCAGAATGTATGTATGAATGTCCAGTACGATCCCCAAAAAACTTTGTGAGGGACAAAGCAATGTCGGCTTCAGTCCAGTCCCTGTAGAAACACACCGTAAAAGCACCACTAAATATATGACCAAATGCTCAAGGACTTGGGATGGACACCGTATGGTACCATTTGAAATCTACCAGGTGTTCAGGAACTAATCGATGAAGTTTTTTACCATTTGCTTCAAAGGTGTGTTATAGAAAGTATAAATTGGAGCATGTGTGGAATGAAGCTTATAATAACAAGCCATTAGTACGGAAATCACACCCACATTTTCTCTTCGCCCTCAATCAAAATAAATATTATCTCTCTAATCATCTGCTGGTGTTACTAATAATAGTAACTTTTATTTTTGTTATCACCAGGTGTCGCTCTTGGTTTTTGCTTTGAAAAATGGCACTATTTCGTTTCGTATGAAATGATCAGAATTCGATTCCCCGAAATCGATATACCCTTGTCCTTACATATGTTAAAAAGATAAATACCCTAGTCAATTTTCAAGATATTTTGAACCAGGAAATCTTACTTTCTATCCACAAAAAGGAAAAATTGTCCTTCGAAATTTCGACAATTTTCAAAAGTAGTACTGTAAGTAATGACTCAGATTTTTCTAAAATAAAATTTGTACTCAATTTAACCAGGACGAGTCTAAAGTGATGAAAAAAGACGAGTCTAAAATAGAAATGTCAATATTTCCATTACTTTATCCCAATGTTCCATATTGCTCCCGGAAATGTTCATTTAGTCTATTCAAACGGTCATCGGAAATTTCCTATTAGACTAGCACTTGTATTTGAAAGCAGATAACAGGTCAGTTTGGATTAGACTGAATAGCCTTTTACATGCCCCAAAAAGATTTCAATTAATTGCTCCAGGAAATGCGAATTATTGTAGTCCACATTTAGGAATCGAGGGTTCTCTCCTCCAAATTTACAAAGAAAAGTTGATTTGAAGCACAGTAGATTTTTCTTTAAATTTCACAAGGGAGACAAGCTAATGTTGGTCCATAGACAACATTTCAGTTTACCTGGCATTGTACACCACAAGTCTGACCTTTGTCACTCTAGTAGTGTTTATAAGCATTTTGGTACATTTGAAGGGATCTGAACAAACCATTACAACCAAATTTGTGACGAATTTTTGAATTTATTTTTCAGTTGCACCAGCCAGCAACGGTGACGGTGCTGTACCCTCTACAAAGGATGGTGGAGGTAACGGAAGTGGTGTAGCAAGAGTATCGTGTATTCTGTATTTAGGTTTAATAATATATACACTAGCTTTATAGTTAGACTTAAGAAATTTAGAAGTTGTTTTTCAATTGCATAATGACTGTAAAAGTGATCTATATCAACATTCCTCATTTAAAATTTGTCATGACGTCACATATTCTAGCCAGACGATAAATCACCTCGGAAGAAGGGGATGCCATCATGTATTATCATAGAAGGTTCATTTCTTTTGGCGTAATATATAAGGAAAATATCTTCAGCCTCACTTTCTATTAGATATAAGCTTCATTTTTAATTCCGCAGGGGACGTCTGACGTTAATGACAAATGAATTTTAAATGTCTATGTTTTGACAGTCATATATGATTATATAAGAGAATGTTGAGCTGCTTTCATGCCGTCATTTTTCCTACGACTGGGCCTATTCACACTTTTTTAAAGCCTGACCTCTTTATCAGGCTTTGATTTGTGCTGATATTGGAAACTAGGGCAAATTAAAGTCGCCAATAACGTCACATAATTGGTTGCAAAAGCGACCTGAAAGTAGCTCTTAAGATACGTGAAATATAAAGGTTATGCCTCATTCGAGCATCATTATAATTTAAAAAGATTCAATGCTCTAGCAAAAGTAATACAAGATATGAGAACATGTGTATGTAACGTTCTAGAATCTTCAGTTGGCTACTACAACTGGTTCTCGATATCTTTTAAAGTCTTCTAAAACATGTGCTAGATTTATTTCAATTAAGCCGCTTTTGCGATATTTACCACATCCATTCATAACAGTTGAGATTGAAACTTTTTTGTGCACTTAAAAAACTTGTAGCTTGTACAAAATTTTCATTAATGGTTATACTTCAAATGTAAATATCAATATGAAGAAGTGAGCAATCATGACACTATGGCACAATCAATGTATTTCTCATATTCAAAATGATGGCAAAGTCGAAATCTGTAATGCGACAGTCGTTAGAGTTTCTAACAAGGCAACATTATGAAAATCACTACGATGAACCTGATTTGTAAGTGTTCAGCTAGAAACCGCCCCGAAGTGCTTCCTTTCTTCACAACCTTGCTAATGGTTTCTTACGGTCCGTCAAATCTTATATATTTTAGAATCACGCCATTTGAAATAGCTGACGTACTAGAATACTATCTCAGCTTGATCATCAGCGTTGATATGTTACTAAATACTAAATACGTTCATATATAAATTTATACTAAATTATAAATGTGATTTTGAACATCAGCAACTTGGTTGTGTTAATTTTCTTCACATGATGTATATGTTACGCGAAAAAACTTTTTTGGACTGAAGTATAACTTGAAATATTAGACAGCGTACTTAAATTTGAAATATCCATGCTAACCTAAATTTTGTTTATAATATTAACATTCTAATACTAAATGTACAATACTTTGCTTGGTTGTACATAATATGAATGTGCTTTGCCATTTGTAAAAAAAAATTATTTTCAATGCAATTCGTCATGATGTTGATTGTCTGTATACTAGCGTCGTCACCATACCTCTAGTCAAAGAGCAATAATATCACTGCTTGTTAAAATGTATGTTATGCCAGTAGAACAAAGCAATCTTGTAATATTTAAATTGGTGGTAGTGAGCTCCTGTTAAAGGGAGATAATGAAATTTTAGAACTGAAAGGAACGCCTGTCTTGATTTTTTAATAAACTGTGTTTTTTCTCGATTAACTTGAGAATTCGCCCTAAATTATCGGATCTTGCTAATATTGTACACATATATACTTATTTCTATATTCATAATAGATCATAGAACACACTTCAAATACCACGAATTCCTTGATATTGAGAGCGAAAACACTTTTAATACCACTACGCTTATATTGCTATTTTAACAGTGTTTTTAAATTTATTCAATTCACCTCCTTCCGACATATATCAATCTAAAATATTTGTATCTGACAGGTGTTCCTTCAAACTCTAAAATATTTTGTAATATAGTTGAATATTTGAAGTTATTTATCATTATTGCTTCATGATTTAATTCTTATTTGTCTTTTTATATATTTGTATTATATTGTCCTTTGTCCTTTGAGAATAATTTATTTTTGTGTACAATTTCAGTACATATATATGTGTACATATTAAATCTCTGTGTGTGTAATTTGGTTGTTATTTTTTGTTTATCTATGCTTAGTCGGATTGGGTGGTTACATTGCCAAAGAAGACCTTAAAGTTCTATCACTGATATTGACTCAACAGATTGGGAAGTGTACTAATCTGAAAGAATTACACGCCTATTACTTGCGAGCACAATATTTGGGAGAATTATTGTTACTTTTCAATTCAATGGTGCACGTAGCAAATTGCAATGAATAAATTACCGATGCTGAAATAGCATAATGGTGTATGAGAATTTCACTTGTTCCAATATTACTTCAATTTTAATAAGAAAATTATCAAAGTTTTCATAATAAATACTACCGGGACACAACAAATAGGACAAAGTTCTCTCCAATATCGTATCAAACAGAACAACGTAATAACTCGCCACTAAACATTGAATTATAGTTGCTTATAGAAGCTGTGCAGTGTACGCTGATAGGAAAATAGGCTTTAGTACAATAGTCTCCAGAAGAAAACTTTAGATCAGAGTAAATTTTCGCATGGCCATAAACTTTACACGTGAAAAGCACGTGCATTACAATTACCTGGTGGTAAAGAGCTGTGTTCAAAACGAGGCATTTTTCTTCATCCTCACTTAAATCGTGAGGCTATTTGTAGTCAAAACGAAATTTATTACTCTGTTATTTTACTAATGGTTGTGAGATGATCAAAGGATGGTGGGTCGGTGGGGGATGGGCATCGGGCAAAACTGCACAGCTGGTGCTTTTGTTTTATTTTCAAATATATCTGAATATTTGTGGCTAGTGGTCAAAGGGAGATAACTCGTAATTACAAAACATGATTAAAGACTACCCAGACCGTTAACAATTCTAAAATATGTAGGAATGACGTTGAAATTGATCTCTTCGTGTGTCCTCATGACTTTTGGGATTACACAAGGCTTCACAGAATGAAATACAAGACATTACTATAAAATAGGGCGGCAAGTTGATAACACTTAATCTACACGTTAATACTACGACAGTCCGTAGCCTAAATTTACGTTTGCAGATGAACGACTTCATAATGTTTTTTCATGACAGCATCCAAAAATACCACAAATAATGTAGCCTTATTTGTTATGTTAGAGCAAAATCAAAACATTATCAGTTTTCAATATTTTGAATACAACTAGTAAGATTAGATCTTTGAAGCAATAAAAAAAGAAAACTTATTAACATATTAATGCACTAACTGTAACATATCTCTTTTTCTTTTATCTAAATTTAATCAGATTGGCAGTTATCATACAGATATTGAACATACACCAGTACGTCATGTTGGTGCTATATTTTTCATATTAAAAACACCGAAATATAAACAAAGTATAAAAGCTAATAGGAATGTGGAGGTTGGACGTATTGGAAATACATATGATTTCCACCATTAGTTGTCGAATTCTTTAAGTCCTGAACTAACCGCAACCAGATTTTCGATTTTAAGGCTTGGAGAGCCCTAAGTTTAAGCTACCACTGCAAAATGAGCGCCTTATCGGGGACTCAGTTGGTTCGTATGGTGGCAAAGTCTCTTAAAGCCTCTTTGAGCATAAACTCAACCCTTTCTTTTCAAGTTGTTTGTGTCTTAAATGAAATAAGCATATCACTCAGAAAAGGACCACTAGTAGAATAAACGAAAAGCACACATACAGAGAATCACAATAAAACCACCAATAGACAATAGAGAATCACACAGTCCGAATGTTATTGGTTTGGTCACCGATGTTGACTTAAAGAATTTGTCAGAAATAGGAGAGGTTAATCGTTCGGCTAAGGTATTTTCTGGTTTTGAAAGCTATATGCAGTTGAAGTGTTCTTCAGTGCGTCTAAAGCAACCAATTATGTAATACATGTATTTGGTGTTATGATGACGTTCTCTTTGGGCTGGACCTGTATTCTTTTAATCGCGTCTGATTTCTTCTTAGAAGCTTTGGTAGCATTAATTGTCTTGGAATAGCTGTAGAACAAAATAAAATTATTGACGAATACGGGGATGGTGACAGCAATCAACAGAACTCCACAAATTGCAGCCAAAGAACCAACCACTCTTCCGAGGAAAGTGTTTGGATACATGTCTCCGTACCCTACGGTTGTCATAGTGATGACAACCCACCACATAGCATCTGGTATGCTCTTCATGTTATCCCTTTCACAGTAATACACGACCCCAGAAAAGACTATAACACAGAGTAACAGGTACATGACAAGCAGGCAAAGTTCCTTGGTCGACATCTTAATGGTGTAAACCAGGACACGAAAACCGATTACGTCCTTCACAATTCTGAAGAACCGAAACACACGAAATGTTTGAAGGCAATCTATGAAATCGGCCAACGATATACTGTAACGTTGTGATGGCAATATGATATCAACGATGACGTTGACATAAAGAGCTAACAGGGCAATGATATCACAAATATTGGTCGCATTCTTCATGTAGTCGCATTTGGACGGACAAACCAAAAATCTGGCGAGTAACTCAATAGAAAAGAACACCATAACTGCATATTCCATGTAATCCAATTCAGATATTCTGACAGATGCTTCACTTATTACATTTTCCTGGTTGTCATTTCCTGGTGTTGTATCTTCCAAAGTGTTATTAAACGGGTCACCCCCGCCTAATCCCGGGGAATGCGGATTGGGATTCCTTTTGAAACGTGGGATGGCTGATTGTTGTGATGGTGCCTCTCTCTTGTTGAATTTAATGCTCCTACGTAATATTTGTCGTGGTGGAGGACCCATACCCCTAGGGGGTGATTTACCATATCTGTCATAGTACAGCTCCTCAAACTCGTCGGTCTTCAGTTGACGTAAGAAATTAGGATGTGTTCCAGCTGCCATTACAAACAATGAGATAATGACAAATATAACAGATATACCAAGATAAACCTGAAACAATTTAAACTTATTAGAATCCAGAAACTCTTCCAAACAAAAGCACCAATCAGACAAATAATCTGTACAATATATCTGTGCTTTGAACCTAGACAACATTTATATGCAATAGCATCAATAGCATCTGATCGCAACTGTAGTCACAGTCCCATTTGCTTGTATTTTGGCTTAAAAAACATCAACGGCAAAAATCTCAAAATCGTTCAAAATCAAATCCAAATTCTGATCAAAATACACGAAGATCTTACGAATAATGAAATCTGATCAAAATCGTATTCACCAACTCGTTCACAAGAACTTGTGGATGGATGGACGTTTATGTGCGACGCCAGTATACGTCCACATTTGCATGAGAAATCATCAGTAAAATTATCTGAAAATGTATTGGACAATCATCAATTCTTTTTTTTCGTCAAAAGTCTCCTTAATCTTTTTTTGAGGCAAACGAAATCAGTTTGAACCTGAAAACATTTTTGCACGAGCATTAAATACACAAGTCATGAATTATTAATTTAACCAATTTTATCTATATCACATGAATTCAAGCTAATTTCCACAAAAATATAATCTTTTGGCAACTAGATGGGTGATATCTTACCTTAGCTAAGCGTGATGAATTTGGTTTGTCCAAGATGCGCCAAATCTTCATCTTAAGCCTGGGCATTAAGTAGTTGCTGGTAGAAGACGACGTCGATTTGGAGTCTTTTATATAATTCCTATTAAAAAGCTTCAACATATTGTCGTCGTCTTGATTGGAGACCATCTTACGGTAGCAACAATCTTCCATTTTAGTAGCAGCCAACCCCCAAAATTCCAATTCTCTTTTGAAAATATTGTGGCAGATATCTTGCGGATGATGTAGTTCTCCGTGTTGAAAATAATCCAAGATCATTTGAAAGGCTTGGGCATTGCGGTTGAAATAGTATTCAGAGCCTATTTTAGAGGCAGTGCTTCTGCTCAAATTCGCTGATTTTAACACTTTGTCGAGAACCTCAGAAGTAACTTCAAACCTAGTTCCATTTAAATTCATAACCACAAAGTTCTCCATTGCTTGTCCTTGTAGTTTTGCATTATTTTCCATAGTTGATTGTTTTATAGTGCTGACCTTTTCAGCCATACTAATTGTTATTGTATCATACCCAATTAAACTTTTTACGTGAACGATCAATCAGAATATCACAAGGTTGTTTGCTTTGATAACACCAAATTTAAAGGAATATGTCTAGGGCACTTATTTCTTTGTTTTGCACCATTTCCATTGAAGAGATCATCTTAGCATTGCGGAGGGAACGTAATGAAAAAATGCAAACAATCCACCAACAATTTTAGTCTGTGGAGCACGAGATGGTACCAGTTTGAGACAAGTCCAATGCTGAAAATCGGTGAAAAATTGTTAGATCATCGTCAAAATCAATAGACATCATTTTTTTTCTTACAATGAACGTGCACCAAAAAATGACATAAACAGACATACAAGTCAAAACAAAATGATACCCGTACTAATGTTCTTGGTGGCTTATTAAAATCAATCCAGTAAAAGCTTGAAAGACCACAATTTTCAACATGCAAAGGTGAACCCCTGGTCATTTGATTCAAAATTGTCGTGATGCTTTCCTTTTTTTACTTGATTGTTTTTCAAGCTTAATTTCAGAATAGGTTTACCTGAACAGTTAAAGCATGTATATCCGTTGACTCTTTAAAAAATGAGTTCAAACAATTTTTTGATATATTTTTTAAATGAATCTTTACCGAAAAAAACCGTGTGTTTATAGATATTTACTAATGTAGATAATATAAGTGTTTATAAAGCGGCATAGAATGCTATCATTAGAGCAGTAATGAGCGCTATACTAAACCCAATAATCTTAATCTTTACCTGTAATGCCTTGACTATAATCAATCTATCTATGTCTAATCCATATCCATATTCAGTTGTAATATCCTGTTCAGGCTGAATATATAAACTGACAAACTTTACCAGAAACCTGTACTTATATTTAATGTCGCTGAGAGTATGATAATTTTATCGATCACCGAGGTTCCTTAGTCCTCACATGGGACTGGTCTCACTGGTGTGTCCAACCACGCGGTAAATATTTGAGAAGCCTAACCTTTCAATAGGTAAAAACGCTTTATTTTCTATTTAGCTTGATATAATAAAAAAAAATTACTAGCCAGACATCTGTTTAAATTTAGACAAACCAAAACATCACAGAAATGAATGATCTGTTTTTAAGTCAGCCATTTCTGTTTGAGGTTTGTTCTAAAACCATGTCGGTTAAACGCATCTTAAAGATCAAAAAAGATAGTCAAGGGTTGACCTTTCTGCTGTTCACAAATTTCACATTTCTAAAGGGTTTGTTCTTTTCTTCGACCATATTTTCTGAAACTTGGAAATTTTGTATATAAGGAAGTATTAAAGGAATTTATTTATCTATTTATTGTTTTCCTCTCTAGAAAACTTCATTCTATGTTCTGAAGAATGGTTTTTGAATTCGAAATACCATCAAGCAAACAATACAATGGTTAAAACGACGCTTGTGGTTATTAGTGATTTTGAAAGAAAACTTCCACGTTATTTAATGTTTTATTTTTTGTTATTCAGTAGCATGGCCTTATTGATTGCTTTCTAAATATGCCTTAACTATGAAAACTTATTTTATAAGCCAAGGGCTGTTTTCTCAATTAATAAATTAAATCACAAACACTGTAACCTTAAGAATCATTCTGAATCAAAAATGAAATGAAATGAATGGAGTTTTACGTCCTACCATTCTGAATCAGACTAAAGAAAACTGTTATTGAGCTAAGCACAACTCTGTGTGGAGTTACGTCCATGTGAAACGTGTTTACGTTAGCTTCAGGCTAAATATTACAGAGATGATCCATGGATGGCTTCATATTCAATTTGATCGTCATGAATACTAAAGAATTCTTGGATTCAAAGATCAATACACAAATATATACCAGGTAGTCCTTTGCCAAGCCTCAGCTTGGTCGGCTGAGTGCACACGAATCGTACTTTTACACGCCGATCGAGAGTAGAACCCCCAACCGTCATGCGTTCGACGTAACCAAGCAAATAAAAAATAACAGAACAGAACAGCAGAACTCTTCGCAATTGAAGGCTTTAGTGACACAATATCAGTGGAATACATGATATAATAAGTGGCTCATGCTTATAGTGATACAGTCTACTTTCCACATTGTCGCGAGTCCTACCATTATAACGTTTCATCCTCCTCAATAATTGATGTCATTCTTTTTGTAGACAAATACCATTATTATTACAGAATAAAGAAACCATTGTCATTTTTCTAATAGATGTTACAGAACACTAGTGTTGTTTCCATGGCATTTTCATTGTACTACGTGGCATCAGGTTGGTCTACAATTAATGCGAATAAGCACATATAAGACTCTTGTGTAGACGTGTTAATGAAAATAGTTTAACTTAAATTGATGTGAATTTAGTGCGCTACATCAACAAACCATGATAATATTATAATAATGGACTATTTATTGTAAATAGGTCAGAATTAGATCCAGTGCACTAAAGTGCGCATGGTTCTGTCTAACATTTAGCCCATTGGTTGACGGAGAATACAAAATATAATGTTGAAATATTGGGGAATTCTTACTGTGTCTCGTAAGGCAAAATACTTACAACATTGTGTGACAATCTATCACAAAGAGTCAGTAGATTGTATCCTTAACGCCCCATCGTAGAAACGAATTAAATAAAGGGAATTACATCAGTTATTGTATTGATACAACTATTCTCCCGGGGATTATTTCATTATCATGTCGAAAAGCGTAGGTAGACCTATTTGTCTAAAGTGTCATGGTCGTTTCCGTTTGAAAATCTGAGTCTAGTCGGAGATCCAAACGTTTGACAGGGAAAGCCAAATAACAACATCCTATTATCATATATCTTTATGTTTATAACCTATATCGAGTGGCCCAGATATACGATTTTACATTTAATGTCCAGATAATTCATCAAAGTTAGACTAATATAGTTTGACCGCATATTTACTTAGTTATAAGACACCTTTTCACAAATATAGGCTTCTCAAATGAAATTTATTATGAATTGTCAAAAATGCATCTTGATTGAACTTGGTCAAGTTGGTCACCATACCCAGCACAAACAGCTATGAAACGTGTTTAATAATGATAATAATAGCGCTTCCTTTTCTAAAAAAAAGTTCTACTTGGCACTGAGTTGCCTTGTCATGTCTGGTATTCATAAGAACATAAGTGCGTCTAAAGACGAAGTTATTCCATAGCACAGGTGCTGCGGCTGAAAAAGCACAATCATCACAGAGTTTTAGGCAATTAGATCTTCTCTAGTGTGCAAAGACCGACTTTTTTCGTTTCTATCAAATTGCTTTGGTAGGTTGGGGCAAGGCCCTGTATACACTTATATGTTAGAATAAAAATTTTGTATTGACTTCGCCTGTTGATGGGAAGCCAATAAAGAGTCTGTAGAACTCTTGACACAATTGTTTTGTTCTTGGTGTGATAATTAAAAATCCGTCAAAGAATTGTGATACGATATCTGTTAATCTACGGCGATATTCCGTTACCTCATTGCTTGCATTGCGAATTTTATTTTTTAAATAAGAGTGTATTATAGACTTGTTGCTCGTAAAATCTGTGTGTTCTTTGGAAAAATTTTCAATTTAGACAAACAAGACCCAATTGATGATATTGATTCGCTAAAAGCTTTTGGTATAGTTTCAGCAAGTAATATCCCGTCTATCATAATATATGTACATTACATGAGTTGTTTTAATGGCTTTTATTCTTTCAAAGTGAATATGCGTGCTAACCTGAAGTTGATCTTCTAGAGTAGAAACAGCAGATGGAACATGTTACCGTCATCGACCTCGGAGCATCTTTTTTTTCTCGTGGGTGCTTCATTTCTTTCTGAAAAAGAAAAATATTTAATGGAAATTAAATTATACATCCTATTCTGCTCCAATTCTGGCTAATGACAACAGGAATATTCTGTACCTAGCATACTTGATTTGGTTGCCTCATGTTACGTTTTCGTCGTTCGGATGGGGCAGTAAACCGAGACCCCGTGTGCTACAGGCTGTGCACGTTTAAAGATCCTTCAACAGTTGGAAATCTAAAAAGATTAGGCTAATGCATGGAGTTGCCCGTCTTCATTAGCCCACATGGCACAGAATAGTAGGACGTAAAACTCCATTCATTTCATTTCATTTTCACGCAACGTTTTCAAAACAACCTACATTACAAAACCTACTCGAAGATAACCACACCACCTTGTTTACTAAAATTAACAAGCAATTTCTATTTTTTGTAATACGACAAATCTAAATCTACAAACACTGATTTGTTTATACCAGTAAAAGTAATTTGTATAGTTTTGACGACAATAATGTTGAAAGATAATGTTTCATAATCCATATTTAATAAGATATAATTTCTCGCTAAAGAAACATTTTTCTTTATTGGTTGTATGACACTCAAGAAGGTCCAGTTGTCATAATCTGAATTCATCTGAGTCATTCAGTGAGTTGTGTCGATCACCTTCATTTAAACTTTTTGGGACTATTATTTTGTAGGATCGAACACCATGAAGCCATAGAATGAATATTTTTTTTCGGGGATAGGTCTAACTTAAAGACGTTTCACCTCATACTATCTTTGTTGCATTCTGGTTGATCAATTACCATGAACCTCGAGGAGGCCAAGATGTAGGAGACCAAGATGTAGGAGACCAAGATGTAGGAGGCCAAGATGTAGGAGACCAAGATGTAGGAGGCCAAGATGTAGGAGACCATGTTATATCTGTTATTAATTATTTTCTGGATCGGCGAATTGGTAAAAGGGGATTTTCAAACTGCATGAAAAGTTACATTGATACACGCAACAGCCAGCAAACCTCCATGGCTTCAATTCTGAAGATATCAAGCCTGATAAAAATAATGAACAGTATATATTTCTTAACAATAGTGTTCTCTCATAATGGTCTGAGGGAAATGGCACACACGTACTGACTTCTGACAGGAAATGACAGTTATTGCTCTTTAGAATATGGAAGTTCAACATAATCAATCAGCACGAACGATCGTAAAAAGATTCCGATCATGCTGAACTAACTCACATTTGCATTAAGTTATAGTATAAGTAACGGTAGGGTTGTCATTGTTTTTGAATAATTTATTGAGTATTTATTAAGATATCTCCCTTGCTATTATTTATTTATTGACAGTTATGATGAACAACAACAAAAGATAGTTATAGGCCAGCTAAGTCGTACATAAACACCTTTGAAGACATAATCCATTCAAATACCAATTAAATAATATTGCATTTACAATAGACACAGCTCTATGGAACATTTGATGTATTTTTATTTGTATTGTCATCAGATGCATCTGGTAGATGGTGGCTCAATTGGCAGTTCCAGCAAGCAAACACTGAAAATTCATATCTTTTTCGGGGATGAAATAAAACTGTATCAGCCATGAAATAGTGGAATTTCGCAAAAGGATCATTATCACAAAAACCACACTGAGTAAATAAGAAAAAACCCTTAATTGCTGTGGTTTATTTCCCCTCCTTTATGAGGTTGATCCAGCAACACGACAAAAAAAAGAAAAACCGATGAGTTTATGCAATCCATTAGTGATTAATATATGATTATTCTTTATCACTATTATGTTAAGCACGTCTATGTCATATTTAATTGAAACTTAACACCTATACTCCTTTTACTTCATTAAATAACACAAAGAATTCTAATTACGTATATATTCGGAATGTGATTTGTGTAAAAGTATCAGCGTGTACCATTTTACAAGGTACACAAAGGAAGATGTGGGCAAATACACATGAAAAACAATACATTACAAATGTTGGCAGAATGCCGAAGATCGAATAACTCATAACATCATCCAGGACCGAGCTTGACCGCCATTTTATTCGATCCGACCAGATCTCACGAATTGTTCAGAACTAAACCAACAGCACAGACTCATCCAATTTGAACAAACCCAACTACCAACTACTATAACTACTTAGTTTGTGATATCAGCATCCGCGGGAAGAGAACGTTAACTTGCCATCTTCCAACCACTACGCCATGGTACCCTTCCAAGTCTTTAGGTATCGCAAAGCACATTTTATCATCGGTCAAAACTTATATTGGGTCTGAAATATATTAGAAATTATTTCCCTTTGTTTTCATCTGTTTATAATATTCATTTTACCTGTTTGCTATTTTTACCGTAAAGACTCTAAAATAGCACGACGATGGGTATGTGGGTTCTGTTAATGGTAACGCAATGTAAGGTGCTTCAGGTGGGAGTCCGCATCAGATTATAAACATCAATGGGGAAAAATAGTAAATGCATTTAAACTAGTTGAATGGAAAGATGACCAACAACAGCTGGCGATACCGAGTCAGGTATCTCTGTTGACTCCTTCTATTAAAGCAAATGATTCTGCTGCTTTAGGGGCTTTTTCGGAAATCTTTCTGAACTCTTTACATGCAATTGGAGCGTACTCAATAAGAAATGTTATCTTCTAATGGAATACTGACCCTAAAGAAATAGGCGGATACCAAAATGAAATATAGTTTCAATGAGTATTAACGATAGGGAGCCATTGGGCTAGCTTAAGTTATACTGAACATCCATATTCGATATTACTCGTTAAATACTGTACATCAGATAAACGCGTATTTATTTTAAGCGTTTTACAGTATATATGTTTATACCTCTAATTCGTTTGATTGAGAGGTAAAAAGTTTAGTCTATTCATACTTTTAACAACCACACCTGAATGAATAACACTCGAAACCAGTGGAGAGAAACGGTCTTTCTATTGGTCTAAAGGATAAGCTGCAACCAATTAAGATACGCAGCGTGAGTTCTGGGTTGTTATGACTTCTAGCTATTGTCGAGAGGTTAAATGCCGAGTGGGTGCGTGTGTGCCTTCATCTTCATCCCAATATACCTTCTTACCTACCGACACTGTACACAATTTCTACTACAGTATATAACTTTCAAAATGGCCGCACCAGAAATCGCCGAATGTCAATTGAGAAGGAAAGATACTAGTCAACCATGGGGATTTCGAATGCAGGGTGGAGCCGAGTTCAACATGCCCCTATACATGGCACAGGTAAATTCGATTTTTGTTCTCATTTCATTTCAGTACGTTTTTTCTGTATATCCTTGAAATTTGATGAGTTCAAGGTAACACGACGGGTACCATGTTCTCATATCCACTGGTTTAGTGAAATATCAAAGAAATACAGTATAAATTTGTTTTTAATATATTCAGATATGAGATAAGACACTACTCTGTTTTATGTTTAGATTGAATAGACGGAGACGTTGATTATAAGACGCTTCTAACTTAGTATGATTTATAAGTAGTTACTTTCTAATTAGAAAATGATAAGAACTGGCGTAGTGTACGGACTGAGATTTGATAAGCGTCGACTAATAATGTATACTAATAACTATGTATATCTAAAGAGTTAGTTTTTGTATTGTTTAAGCTATATAAACTCTTATCACGGAGTTGGAAAATGATAAGATACTTTTCATATCAAGGTGTTTTCTATTGGCTATTTATTTCCAAAATAGGACCCTGTTACATTATTGGGGAAGAATTGCCCTTCCTATGGTGCCATTGTAAGATTACTACAATACCAAAGAATGATTATGATTGGCATCAGGTTGAAGTTAAGATTTTACAGTAATATGATTTCGGAAAAACAACAACCAATATGTTTGAAGCATATCACATTATCTGTTTTTTCTAGCCTTAGCTAGCACCTACAAAGCCTAAAACCTTAAAATTTTCTTCAAACTTGTATATGCAGCTACGAATCTGTACTGATATACGTAAAATTCAAAACGAACAGTTGGAAATGATATGAGTTTTGCAATACAATAACAGCTATTTTCACTGTTAAAAAGGTGCTCAATACATCATGTGTAAAGCGATAACTAAGTCAAATCAGCTTAATGAGTGCAAAAACATATAGAAAACTGGGATTGGAAAGTATCATAGAACCAGATGATATTTTATGTCAGCAATTAATTTGTAAAACCAACAGCTACTCCGACGAGGGTGTTCCTAAGTCTCACATAAATTGACCTAATGAATAATTTAACCTTTAACAGTATGAAATCTAATTATGTTTCACTAAGGAGAATGTCTGTAGGGGTTATAGAATACATCATTAATATAATAATGTAAATGAAACCAGGTAGATCTCTATGATATATACCGTTACATCTCGGCAGCACCTCTAACCTGACTAGACCTCAGAAATCCTAAATACTGGTTTTTAAAGGATACAATGCTAAGACGAATATTAAAGGCCATTATGTTACAATGGATCACAGTATTAGTAATCCAGAATCCAAATTTTGTTAGGTTCGTAACGTATGTAAATAAACAATATTTACTAAAAGATGGCGATCACATGGTTACGGAAATTGAAAGTTGTGCCGAGTGGAGATGAAACGTAGAGAAGGAGGTGTGTTCTGTTCCATATATAGATAAGGCATCTTCACTCAACGTATACATTACATACACCACGTGACTAGAATAGGTAAACAGATGCTGGCAACGTACACGAGAACTGTATTTACTTATCAAAGTTTTGTAAACTATAACTAACTGTATGCTAAACATCTGATATTGGCATTCGTTATACATCATTGCATAATATATGTAATATACGTGCAATGGAAGGCAGCACTAGGACGCTGTAACTTTTAATGAAATGAAATGAGTTCGAGGCAATAAGGTTTCATTTTCTCGAAGATATTCAATTTTCAAACAATGAACATATTTTTCTAATAATTTGGAAACCTTTCATTATATCTTAATCAAGATAATTCTTCTTAAGGCTTCTCGACTTCTTAAGCATCTAAAACCATAAGTTTTTCCACCAGAACTACAATATCCGGCTGTATTTGTATCCAGATTGCCATTCGACGTAATGATATCGAGATGATCTGATATCATGGCCAATGGGAAAACCTCAAGCCAACGAACACACACAGTGAAAGGCATGTTAAACGATAATACAGTTGTTCAGATCAATTTAAACTTCTCACATACTTTCATATTCTATATACCAGCCAGGAAGGTAGTAGTTCCTCACCTTTCAGCCATACCTAGATTTCTAACAACATATCGAAATATTTTACGGGATCAGAATTGGCCGACCAGCGGGTTAAAACATATAGTAAATTCATTTCCCGGTGGTTATCAAGGAATTGAAGTAAATGGATTTATGCTTCTCTCCGATCCTCATTGTGTTAATGATGAATGACAATCCAATCCCTACTATTTTTTTTGTATGCACAACTGCCGATGACCCTTTTAAGTACAATGACTGCAGTACATCCGAACGAACGAACGAACGATCTCGCGCTTTTTCAATGACAAGGCAACGTCAATTTGTAATTCGGGAAACGACATATTCGACCTCAAGGTTAACGAAAAAACATATCTAGCCAAAGTGGTGCCCACAAAAATTTAATTTGAGGGAAGGTAAAGTAGAGAAAAGTATCTGCAAAGCGACTCAGACGTTTTCCAGACAATGAATCACCAGGCAAAGGCTAGAAATGAGCTTATACTTGTTCCATCATAGAACAAATTAATATTTAACAGTGTGGGAATGTAAAATAGAAGATTTTCACTTTATTTATACATAGGACTTGATGAACTAGTTTACAGCTGCTTGAATAATGTTGTGTGACCTTTGATGGACATACTGGTTTATTTACCTTGACGTTTTAGGTCAAACACAGCAAATTAGATGAAAAACTCAAACAACATTCGAACTCGATAAAAATTACTACGAAATAAGACAATCTTCTAAACAAATAATATGCCATCTTGAGAGATTAAAAGCAATTGTTGATGGAAAGACCGAAGGATTAACGGACGGAGATACATTGGCAATAACAATATATGCATCGCATTTCATGTGGGCAACTGAGTCCAATAAGTCTTAAGAATTGGACTTGAAATACCCTTAAAGACGTAGCTCCTAGTATTGGTCAGTTCTGTTAACGAAGGTTATTATTACCCTGTAGAATGGTGCTTATCAATTAAGTATGGGTCTTTATATTGAATGATAATGAATTGTCATGTTCCGGTTCGAAAATGAACCATCACATCAATATATAATTCGAATTGTAGCACCAATGCGTGAAATATGCATGACTTACACTCATTAAATGTTGATTACTCTATCATTATTAATTATGTGACCCGATAATAAACATTAAGGGGACTAAATCCCAATGAGAGCTTATTGAACGGGTCAAAACCATAAATGGACTTAATCAACTATAACCTTATATTTAGTCTATATTATTGGAAGTTTGCCTCATTTTAAAGAAGAATAGTCCAGATGATAAAATCTCACACAAATTTTCCAAAAGCTACAATTTTGGTTTGTAGAAATGTTAAAACAGAACCTGAAACATGTTGTTACTCAGCAGAGGCAACTGATCTATTTCAGCCTGTATCCCTACGGAAGTTGACAAGTAGTCAGTATAGTATAATGTCTATGAATGCCTAATATCTGTTAAACAAAACAATGATTATTGAGTTTTCTTTCAGGTTTCATCAAAAGGTATTGGTGGTAAAGCTGGTTTAAAAGCAGGTGATGCTATATTAGCTATTTGTAAGACACCTGTACAAGGGTGGACACATGAAAGAATGAAAGCCGAGATGATCCGAGCTGGTAATGAAATGGATTTGACAGTCCAAAGGTGAGTGGGGTGGTTAGGGATGAAGATTTGGTTCCAAACTTTCCATAAAGGTTTGTGAGGAAAGCAGGCGATGAACTATAATTGGAGTAAAACAAGGGAACAAATTACGCGAAAAATTGATATTATATGCCATGTCCTTTTTCAAGCCTTCATATAACCCTCAAAAAGCGATATTTATCAAATTAATGCTCATGGCGTATCTGTAACAGAGTACCTTAATTTAGGTACAGCAACACCATGGACATCGAATCTCCGGGTAAGTAAGCGAGCACCTTAAAACCAACATGCAACGACACATCGCATTCAATTTCCAAAATAAAACTTTGTTCCACATTTGTGATAATGCTACCCACTTTTGTGATAATTCTACCGACAAGTACAACTTCCAACAAGAAAAAATATCAAATTCCAACCAGTCGTGTCGTTCTATATTCCAGAAATGTGGTCAACACACAGGCTGCTCAAGCTCACATTCAACAAACACATCCTGAACCAAGATCGGAGGTTGATGACGGTAGCATTAACCCACACATGAACGAAGGATCATCATTTAGAAATGTTAAACCTAAAACTTATCAGATATTGGAGAGAGAGTTTTGCGGAGAGCCACCTTCAGACGCCCCTGCCGCTGCTGCACCAACACCTCAGAGAGCTCCTGGTGCCGGTAAGTTGTGTTAGGATATTTTATCTAGTACCGCTGATTTGAAGTTAGGTAAACACCTTTCACACGTTAAATATCGTGCTGTTTTATCGGATGGTATTGATGCTAAGTATTAAGTTCGTTTGCGTCTGTCAGTTATTTTTTGGATATAACTTTGTTAATAACAACAACATCCTCCTGTAAGGTTTGGAACCATTAAATTCCATTTGCTGGAAGGAGTTGGAGAATTTTCGAGAGTTCTACCTTGAACCGTAAAAAAGATATGACGTAAAAAGGAATCAATTTCTGACAGTCTCCTAATGCTGTCAAAGCATACAAGAGATTCCTGCAATTGCTCCTATATAAACAGACATAAATAATTCAGTAACCATCTTCCTCTTCAATTTCAGGTACTCGAGGAGCTGGTCCAGCATCCATCTTTGCCAAGAAGAAAAATGACAGATCCCAATATTTACAAGCAGGTGGTCCTACCATTCAGAAGGCTTTCGGACAGCAATAAATACTACACAGTCAATAATGGAAGGGTTGAGGAAGGTTAAATCTACCATGAGCTAAAAATGAAATATTTAAGAAAAATCTCTTTTGTCTGCATCGATTGAAAAAATGCACTAGATGCAAAAAGAGTCTGTGTAACAAACTTCACATTTTGTCCCGCGTGTGTCCCTTGTGAATTTATTATTATTTGTGTTCATGTATTTTCAAAACGCGATGTTAAAGTTGACAATGCCCATGACTCGTTACAAACTAAAGATACACTTTCTGTCCAGCTGCATTTTTCAGTACAGCTCGACGTTCGCCTGATCTGTGATTTCATTTTGAGCCAAATTCTTTTCATCCTAATGATACCACAGTATTTGGTTTGGATATAGTTTTAGTTCCTCGAGATGCACAGAGACAACCATTTACATAAATAGGCATAGAATAAATGGTATAGTAATTATAGCATTCTTCAGCTTTATCAGTTATTTTTTTTATCTAAGACGAACCACATGCCGGATTTTTTTTTTACTTGAATGTGATACTAGTAGCTTAATTTTATCAACATTTGACGCAAAAAACAAACGTCCGAGCAATCTTCTTTCTTTAAACGCTTTGTATATACCTACAGATATAATACTCGTTGTTATTCCAAGCTGATTGATTGAATTCGGATATTCATGCAGTTTACGTAACACGAAAACTCTGCAGTTAATAGCATAATAAAACTCGTTTAATAAATACTTAGCATTGAATAATAGATCTTTCGATATAATGTACGATTCCATTCTTTATTATTCCCAGAAAATATACGAATTTCCATTTAAAAATTGTTTCCCCTTCATTATATTACAACATCGTTTATGAATTTCTCTTTTCAAACTTACAAATTTTAGTAAAAGGCGGAAAACCTAGTCTGAAATGATGCATCTTCAAGAGTGTGTAACTCTCAATGCAAACGTCAGAAACCGATTACCATTATTTTTAATCTAATCTAATAAAATACAAGATATCCTGCCCATAATGTCTCAGAGTATACCCTCATGGTCTCTACCTATTGTTGTTTTTTTATATTTCTTTTATCTTTGTTTTGTACAGTATAATGTAATTATTGAAATCTTTTATGCATAAAATAAATGTTACAACTTTCATGTCTTGTGTCACTTCCATTAACCGGCGCAGAATAGATTGAGGTGGTACATGAATTCTCTTGAGAGAGACCATTAAGACGCTCTGTGAGTCTTGAAACTATGCGACTATGACACCACCACAGAGTAGTCAACATTTGAATTCAGCCTCAGCAATCTGTCACCCATTGAGTCAGGCTGGCGTTGCCACTGGATCCAATTTCGAGGTTAACAAGGTGTTACAGGCGGTGCAAATTAAAAGACCCCGCAGCAATTAGAAATTGAGATGAAGCCAGCAACGTTCAGAAGTCCTCCTGTGGTAGTTCATTGTGAATAATGGCTGAAAACAAAACGAACTACAGAATATCCGGAGTCAAGAGCATTAACTCTGTATAACTTTCAAAATATTCGTACACTACCAAAATTTCTACTTTTGTTCCAAAGAGACAAGAACATGAGTTGAAAACTAAGGCAATTACTGTATGCCTATAAAAATTTCCAGTTTTAGGGAGAAGGGCAGTAACTCTATTTCTAATTATCGGAAAGCCTTTAAATTCAAACTTTACCTGTAATATAGAGCTTCATGTACATTTACCTACCAAGTATCGTAATAATAGGTGGAAATTGTTAATTCAAAAGTACAATAATATACAATACACTGCCAGAGATGTAGGCGAAGGCGTATACAAAGGTATGTTAATCCCATAGAGTTATAAATAGAACTTATTATAAAATTCTATGGCTAATCCAGTACAGTGAATAACTCATCTGTTGGTTTTACCATGACATTGATAATGTTTTCCCTTTATTATTCAGTGGGACGAAATAGTTGCAAAGGGGTGTGTACGAATACAACTTGTTTGTGATTTTAAGTGATGCAGACCGGACCACCTTTGATGGGGTGGTTCGATACCCCTGCCTTCCTGCAACATAATGGTTGTGCGATAGTGTCCTGCCATGCTTCTACGTGCTGATCGGATCTGCAGATCATCTTCTTCTTCTTAATAACGCTGGTGACTTCTCTGCTTTCAATAGTGGTCTTTTCTGTAAAGAGACTGGGGTTGACCATTTTCTGCAGGTTGTTCTCGACAATCCGTTTAACTTACTATACTATTTGTCCTCACAAGCCAATTATCAGCATCGCAGCAACCTTTGACGAGACAAGCTCTCTAGTTGGGCCCCAGAAAGGAATAAAGAAAGGGGTAGTGTATAATCTACACAACATGCAATTGGCGGCCTAAATTTTGAGTATGACTATCATTATGAAACACGGGTTAACACGAGTCACACTCCCCCAGCTGGAACGAGGCGAGATACATAAATCGAAATTAAAGTAGTAAATGAATCGAACAAAGCCGGTGAAAAGCAATACGCTTGCGTGAATGCTGCCGGAAGTAGAAGCAGAAAATGGAGTTTGGTTCTTGACAGCGAGGCTTTGCAACGTGGCTCCTGTTATTTTGAGGGACTAATTTGTTGGAAATATCTAAAATTTGAAAACATATATAGCCGATAATTCCTACAGATATCGGTAAATACTATTTTTACATCGCATTTGATTGATAATCCATTTTTAACTAGTTACAAGGTGATGAAAGTATTCACAATGACACAATTTTGTATAAGCTGTATCATTGTTTCATTCAGTCATTGACAAACAAAGTATAGGATTGGCTTCTGCCTTCTTCTTTCAGTTTCATGAAAGTAGGTATAAAACCTCGGACATATTACTCCGGGTTCTATTAAATAAAGAGACCTACCAGTAGTACCGGTAGATGACACTATAATCATGTCATTTTATATAGAAATCTTATTTTTCTCCCTATATAGTATAAATTAACACAGGCAGTAGATCTATTATCAGGGCATAGCTTGTTCTTGATTATTTGAAATTGAATAAGCAAAATTGAGTTAGATCTAACCCATAAAATAAGGTAAAACCTTCCATCATACAAAATGAGGGGTCTACTTTGATGTAGTAGGCCTAAAAACATTTCAATTTTTGCTTTACAGGCACTGGCTTTCAGAAAAGGAATTGGAGATTTACTTTCTTACCAAGATGTCAGCTTTAGATGGGGACGTACCTTCCAGTTCACAGCCCAATATATTTAGTAGGGCTTATAAACGATATTGTGAGGTAAGAGGTAAAATTTGTCCCTTATTTGACCTTGTACAGTAGTAATCTTCTTTACTCAAGACATAAAATATAGACCAAGGATCTAAATTATAGACCAAGGACCTAACACATGGGACTGTTACTAATTAGAAAATTTTAAAAATTGGTCAAGAAGCATTTGATAAAGAACTGGGGTTGCCAAGGTGAAGAACCTCTTTGGACAGTTGTCCTAAGAAATCATACAACCTTTTTTGCTATATAAATGATATAATAATACGGTATAGAAAATATCAGCTTATTTTTATGGAAGATTCGTATCATCTTTGCTATAGATGAAGTCTTTTATAACTGTATTTTAACTATTGTAGATTCATCAATATTATCTAGATAGGTCTACACCATATTCAACAGGAAGGTGGATATTTACTGCCATTTTATTGTTTGTTTATCTTTTACGTGTATATATTTTACAGGTAAGACACTATAATATCTGAATATCCATTACATCATGTTTTTACACATTAATAAGATTTAGATATTGTCAGATAATTATGGGTTCTGGTAACTTTTCAGCTCTCGTCCATGGCATAGTCCTTAGGATGGATAGTCATCTTCAATATAGGATCAACCCGGTTTCTGCAGTGATGCATGTCTGAAGAAAAGTGTCTAGTTGTTCAGATGGGACAATAAACTGAGGCCTCCTGTGCTGAAGGCTGTGCTTATGATGATGTAACATACTCTGCTGGACTTTGCCTATCTTCAGTAGCCCACCTGGTACAGAAATGTAGAACGACTGTAGACTTCTTTATACATATTGAACCCTAAAAGACCTGAATAATAATTGATATTGTAACATCTGTTTTTGTAGGGGTGGTATATTATAACCTATGCACTTGGTATCTATCTATTAAATCTGTTTATAGCATTCCTTACTCCTAAAATTGATCCGGCACTTTTAGAAGATTCAGGTAATTCTGCATGAAATAACTTAGTATTATACAGAGTGGAGCTGCTTTAGAATTGAAAAAAAAAAAATGTCAGGAACATTATTTAGGCAATTATGTGCAAAGCAATAAGCTACTCCATTTTTTTTGAGTTGTTAACCCTTTCAACCCTAGCTGCGGGACCACACACTAACACAACATATACCCAAGCAGACGGTATACCAGCTGTTACTAAGTGACATCATACAACGTTAACATCATACACTTTTACTTTTATTACTTAGAGTTCAGGGTATATGACAGTATATTTCATTTACGCTCAGGGTTCAAAGGGTTAAAGTAAGATTACATTTCTTGTAGAAGATGGTCCATCGTTACCTACGAAAGCTAATGAAGAATTTCGACCTTTCATGAGAAGATTACCAGAATTCAAATTTTGGTAGGTGTAGTGTTGCATCTCAGAGAGTAGATTTCTTGCTAGATCTGAAACAACTTTGATTCTTGGGAATCCAGTGTACCAGTTGATCCTTGACTGTATCTATTTACAGAAGGGTAGATTTGATAAGGTCATCAGACTTTCCCATGCCAAACAAGATACAAAAAAAACCCCATGACCACGAAATGTCATTTGTTAACATAACCAAGCAAATGACATTAAGATACCAAAACGTTTTCACTGGACAAAATTTTGACCATTGTTAAAAAGACATTAGCAATGACAATATATATTTTCATATGATTCATCTTTTCAGGTATTCGTGTTCTAAAGCCATTGTAATTGGTATGATTTGTACATTTTTTGAGGCTTTAAATATCCCAGTATTCTGGCCTATATTAGTCATGTATTTTATTATACTATTTACTATTACTATGAAAAGACAAATTAAGGTAAGACTAGAATCTAAGAGAGTTACCTTCTATGAATTACTAAAACTATTTTTGACATAATTTTCTAAAAAGTTAAAAACAATGAGTTAAGTGTTGAAAATTTCTTCTTCAAAAAAAGATTTTTTGCTTATGGTAGTTAACATCACTGTGTGTTTAAGAGCACAAAATATTAATAGGTGTTTTGTAACTGAATTGAAGCTGTGAATTAATATATTTATAAAAGTGGACATCTGTTACTATCAATATTATTATCTCATTATCAGATCAATTATATACAAAATTATTCTATCACTAACTCTTACTGATAAATTCTAACACTTTCTAAAATTACATTCATATCTTTTCATTTCTGATCTCAAAGCTGCCAATGGACAATCTTTCCTTGGCAATTGTTCTTGATTTATTCCCCAGATATGCATGAGATTACATAGTAAATATATCTTAATTTGTTTTGTTTTTTCAGCATATGATCAAGTATAGATATATACCCTTTTCTCATGGTAAAACTAAATATCGAGGGAAAGAAGATACAGGAAAAGTTGTAGGCCATTAATAAATTTAGTTTTATATTTATATATCAATATATATCATTATGTATATAATTCCTTTATGTCAATTATCATATTAATTTCAGTTTCAACCATTAGGTGAATGTAAATATGATTGTAATGTTACATATTCATTGAATTTTACATACTTCCATGTTATATTAAGTTTTTTGATGTTCTGTTCACCAAAAATAGGGAGAATTTTCCTTTTTGATCCTTGGATGTAACTTGGACAAATTTGGGAAGTGATTGACATTTGTTCGTTCTTATTCTATATCCTATTTTTGACCTATGTTCTGTCTTGCTATTCCCATCTTGATTTATCAAGTGATAAGTGAGTCCATCAGATACAAATAACCCTTCAAAGGCAATGGTGTTATTAATGTTCAGTAACAGAAAAATGACTCTTGTTTCACGAAAAAATTCTTAGAATTCGACAAGGCATATTCTTCCAACAAAGTATTGTAGTCTTTCACACTGAAAACCTTTCTTCTGAGGAATCTATCAAAACTGACGCTAATGGAGAGTATTTGTGAACCAAATGGTCTAATGTGTCAAGGGTTAGATATCATCTCACAGACTCAAATACCCTTGGTAAATCAAGATGTCCGTAACCAATTAACCACTGTTAACCCTGTTTATTTCAGGATTTGGTTAATAATCCAGTTTCAAGCACGCCTTCAATTTAGTTATGTTCCTCCTTTTCTTTATACCTTTTACACTATGCATATTTATTTATTGTGGTCAAATTAAAATATTAGTTTAGAATCTAAAAGTAACTGTCTGTGAAAAAGGTCGATCTTGTTGATTTAGTATTCAAATTTTCACGAAACTGCGAGAACAGCTTAAAAACATTGTTAATTACTAATGGTGGACTCTGTAGAAACACACGTTGAAATAAATTTAATTTATGACACGTTTTGTCGCTTTCTTGTGGGTAAAACTTGGCAGCTGTCAATATTCAGCACTCAATCATTCTTGCTGATATGTGAATAGTATATCCTCTATTTCGGTAAGCAGTCATTTGGGCACTATTTTTTTTAAGCACTTAGGACACACTTCTTTTAGGCACTCGGTCGGTAGAGCACAGGTATATATTTTTGTCTAAATTTCAGTAAATCTCTATTTCATGTCGCCTTTATTCCCCACAAAATCTATTATTTGCATGAAAATTTTAATAGGAAGGGAAACAACTGCATAATGATTAGATATGGAATTGTTTAAGAGTTTTCATTTACAATATCTATATTTTATGTAACAGCTCATTGAAATGTGACCAACTGCAATTATTTATTAATACATGTACATATAGAAGTTTTCTACCCTTTACATAGCCTGATTAACATAGCTTTTTAGGGCATCATTTTTTAGTCACATGGTTTTGGCAATGGTGACATCATATTTGTGTCAAGCATTACTTTGGTGAAAAAGCATCTTCAAAATATATATACTGAAAGAAAAGAAAATGATTATTTTTAGGCTATATTAAAGGGATTGTACAAGAACCATGGATGTCAGAATGAAAATTGGAATGGTGTAAATTGATGATATCAGTGTCCCTGATACACATAGAAAATTTAGAAAACCTCTTTACAATCAGTTTAACTATTAATTCTGTCTTAATGATATTTCCTTTTCCATGTCTTATGTTGTATATTCATCCTAACATAATGCTTCATGGGAATATTACGCTATCAAAAAATTTTGAAAAAATTCGTACAAGACCAGTCAATATGTGCCTGATACTCAATATCACTGTCTATTTGTAATAAGGTTAAGAAATAAATATTAAAGTTTTATTTAGTTGTATATCATGTATGTAATAATGTATGATAGTGAAAAATTATAGATGTTTGATTTGATAACTGTATATAAACAATGTGAAATACTGTATATTAAATATTAATCAATTGTTGGAAGTCATGACTTCATCTCTCCCCTTGATTTCATCATCATCTCATTCATTTTCAAAGCAATGTCACCATGAAAACTGCTTTTGTGCCTAGCTTGGTTTAGGGCATGGCTATTGGATTTTGAACACCGTACTTTGAAAGTAACAACTATGTTTGACAATGATAACAACTTGGGTTCACAAAGGCTCCATTCTTATCAGCTGGTCCTTGGCATTGAACTCTCCAGTGGCGGCGCTACATCGATAATGAAATTTGATATAAATTCCTAAATAATAGATTATTTCCATCACTTTACCCAGCCCTAGTGGAGATGACAAAGACAGTCTGTGGAAGTGAAAATATTGTAACACCATAAGCTGTGATAGGTGCGGGCACACAAAAGTTCATGCCAACGGGAATTTATACCTCTAAATGCCAAAGATTCGGTAAGCCATCATATATCATTCACTTAAGGAATTGAAATATTAATACCTCCCGTCAACTGTAAGAGTAATACTGACCCATTATGTCTAAAAACATTGTCAATTCCCTTCAAATAACTTTTTTGAAGTGTGCTCTTAAATACTGATAGACCAAAAAATAAAAATCAATTTTATCCCCATTATTTCATATAAAATATTAACATTTATTTAAGAAATTGTGATTTTTTTTTACTTTACCAAGTTATCTCCCTTGAAGTGTGGTTGACCTAAATACAGGAAGAGAAGTTTATACCGTATTGTTGATGTTTATAAGATGTCATAGAGTTATATAATTTATAACTCTTCTTATTATTACTTCAATATCATATAATCACATTTTAAATATTAACATTTATCTTAAATATTGTTTTATTTTACCAAATTATCTCCCTTGAAGTGTGACTGACCTACATTACATTATCTCCCATGCAGTTGCATTCATATCATTATGTACTCTGTACATGTATGTAGTCAAAATCAATCTCTTCCAAGTGGAAGCTACTGTTTGTATAACTACGATTATTAAAATCTATAGAAATCTTCAACAGATAATCGAAAAGAAGCACAAGATAACCGTGTTTCTATATGTCGTATGAACAGTAGGTTATTTGATTCCTAAGAAAAGGATTGGAGAACAGGCTTACGCCTATGAGACCTCCTCTCCCAAACGGTAGATTTTGATAAACTTGGTATGTAAGTAGGCGCAATAACATGGCATAGGCCCTAATAGATATATTTTGAAACTGCAACCACTGATTATATAAAAAAGAATATTAGCCTATCTTGTTTTCTATTTACGGAATTGTCTTGCTTGTACGAATATTTATAATGACGTGCTTAATACTTTTATATACAAAATACATCAGGTACCTAAAGTATTTTCTTTATAGACATACAATAGTTACAATACATCGTGAAAAGGTTAAAGGATGATATTTCAAAGCAAAAATGGCGGTTAACCACAATAATAAATGTCTCATGGGTCAAGGACAAGATTGTAGAATGAAACTGAAAGGATGCAAAGCGAAGAGTTTTTAAGTGTCCAATATTCACAGACTAAAGCAAGATGCCACAATTTGTCCAAATGTATATTGTATAAAAATCTTCTGACGATCATTAAATATTGGCAATGGGCTCGTATCGTCTAAATTTCGAAATCATTGGACGAGAATCGAAGTATTCTGATCGTTAAGCAAGTCAGACACGATGAACAACTTCTTGAGTTGGCCCCCTTCACTAAGGCCGTCGCCTAACTGAGGCAAAAAAAAAAAACACCTTTGAATGACAACCAAACTTTAGAAGTTTATTTTTTAATTGTGAAGTTTAAATCCACCAAGACTCCTCTTTGTCTCGTGTTAATATAAATTTCGCTGCAGCGTTGTCTTCCAACCTGCATCACCGACAAAGTGTATCTGGGTTGGATAAACAGTCGAATAAAAGATGGGTAAACGAATAGAGCATGCTCAAGTATCAATTGCATTGACGTAATATGCTATGTATTGAAGAACCTACCACATACCCGATACTCAAGTTTAAATATACAACGTACAGAATTATTCACGGTCAACAAACGCAATATAAAGAAAGATAACACGACTATATCTCATATTCTTTATGTAAAGTGTTGGGTTGTAAATCGTCACGTAGACATCTACATTGTATTTTCTGCCCTTTCAGCCTTCACATCTGGATACCACACTCTACTAATGAAATGCATATTTTTTGTTATAAATTATACTTTAAAGGCACTCACCCGTATTTAAGGAAAAGCTTGATAAGCACTTAACAAATTTATAATATTCAAGAAGAATCCATCCATTTCATATTTCCTGACAGCATCTTGGAGAACATGATCAATCGATGGATTCAGTCGACCTGGGAGACCATAACACCACATAAAAATCAGATTTGCCATCAGTTTTCCAAAAATCATTATATGACTACATGTATTTGGATCCGGTCGTCGAACTCAATGGTAGAACTTTGCGGCCATACCAGTTAATCGTTACAAGTCAATATTTTCATTTGAGAATTTCGATTGCAGAAAATCTAATGACAATAATTAAATACAAACGGGTAGAAGGACCTATGATTTTTTTGCTTCACATTATAGCTCAAAATTGAGTGATTGTTTCAAACTAAAATCACTCTTTTGAACATTTGAACGCAATGGCATAATGCCTCGGTAGATGATACCGCTGCAAAAATCACTGGTATTTTCCAAATTCAGGATGGCAGACATCATTCAACAATGGGTCTAGATTTGACCTGTGTCTGGTAATCTAGATATCTTGTCACGCGCCAAACCAGCTGAGGTCATAAAATAAAGTGTCAATAAAGGCCAACTGTTCCACCCTGAATTACATCTAAGTCACCAGATATTAATTATACACGTACATATTGCTACAGAGATACACGAATATTACATAATTATCTTGCTTCACATCCTGTCGATATTACTTGTACACGAGCGCTGCATTTAGGTACTGTCTCCCAATGAGGATGTTGCTGTATGGTTTGTCAGATAGCACTTGTGCTGTTCTCTGGGTTAAATAACCCATGTGCTGTTCTCTGGTATAACCCCTGTGGTGTTCTCTGGTATGTCAGATAACCCATGTGCTGTTCTCTGGTATAACCCCTGTGGTGTTCTCTGGGTCAGATAACCCATGTGCTGTTCTCTGGTATAACCCCTGTGGTGTTCTCTGGTATGTCAGATAACCCATGTGCTGTTCTCTGGAATAACCCCTGTGGTGTTCTCTGGTATGTCAGATAACCCATGTGCTGTTCTCTGGTATAACCCCTGTGGTGTTCTCTGGGTCAGATAACCCATGTGCTTTTCTCTGGTATAACCCCTGTGGTGTTCTCTGGTATGTCAGATAACCCCCGTGTTGCTCTCTGGTATGTCAGATAACCCATTTGCTGTTCTTTAATATAACCCCTGTGGTGTTCTCTGGTATGTCAGATAACCCCTGTGTGGTGTTCGCTGGTACGTAGCTCGCGAAGTGTGTGTACGTCAAAGGGGTATCACATGGTTGGGAATACGGACTTTACTTTTAAAGTCTTAGTGCGTAAAACTGTAAATTTCTATGTGAAATATTTATGGATGCCTCTTGACTGACAGATTGAAGTGTTTTCAGTTAACTCGACAAAAAAAAACATTGTGCAAATGTTAGCAGGCAACTGTGTCTTAAACAATATCGACGCATTGGGATTTTGGCACAATCTGAAAGTTCACAACATTCACATCTCTTGAGTAAATTCATATGTATTGTTTAGATATTTGGTGAAAATGCATTGCAATCATTTTTTATTTCTCAAGAAGTACACCAGAATGTGCATTCGATATTGATGATATTTTGGAAACTAATTTCATCCACTTCAGGTTTCTACTTCAAATTCAATCAGAATCTAAGATTTTACTTGACTTTCTCGATGAAGATGTCTTGTTACATCAAAAACTTCCATTTAAAGACCTACAACAGTCAACAGTTTACGTGTCAAATACTGCAGGCATTATTTCAAAATCAGGAAAAATGAAACTCCGAAGATAATTCCCCCGTTAAAGCAGACCCTTTTTGTATAAAGACCATCCCACAGCTTCCACCATGACCCAATAGTTCTAGGAGCCCCCCCCCCCCCTTTTTTTTTTAGTCACACAGAACCATAAACTTCTTCTTCCGTGGTATTTCAACATTATTTCATCGTTATAACGACCATCCTTCAGCCACAATCTTCATCCGAACCGTTAAATCTTCCTCTAAGCCTACGCCCATCCAAAATCAACTTTTGCATTTACATGTATATCTCTTCCAGAACTAAAGGCTTCATTCTTCTGTAATTTTACACTTCTCCGCAGAAAAAAACGTTTAAAACTAAGAGATATGACGAAACAGTGACAATTAAATGGCATTTAGTATATCTTGATAATTTTCTATTGTTCTGCTAGAGAAGCTAGGTATTCATCAATATGTCAGAATCTAAATGTCTTTACGAAAGTCTGAGATATAAAACCGTATGTTGTGACAACCTCTGGGTCACCTTCCGTGTAATACATACCTTGCTTGAAATAACAACGCCGTCATGTGGCTTTCTGCACGATATACAAAATTTCCCCAAAATGTCAGCGTGTCTTTCATTTTAGTGACGTTCGGTACATATGATGAATTTTGTTTCGGAAATTGAGCCCCTTTTCCATTGAATTCGAATTTTAAGTTATAAAAAATTTCTTAAAAAACTAAAGGTCATAGGTCGTTATTTCGTCATATTCAGTTTAGTCTTTTCCAATTTATCTATACTTGTATAAATGATGAATTGTCATTTGGAAATTGAGCCCTTTGAATTTTTCTGATGTATTTTATCTTTTAAAAATTATTTACCAGAAACGAGTGATCGGGGAGGAGAGGTCATGAAGCTCTTTCTTGAAGAACTTTGACGAAGTATTTCACCATATTTAAATGTTTTCAGATTTATAGACACATTATATGTATTTTGAAAAAATAAAACTTTTGTAAAAAGTAAATACTACTTCCATTACTGATGAAGAGGACAAGAAAGCTCTTGGCTAAGTTGAAGTAGAGTCAAAATGAAAGATCTGAGACGGTGAACAAACACCCTATGTAAAGACCTTGATGCACATGAATTCTTGGTCCTGTACACAAAGTAAAGGCCGAGATACATGTTACATGGGTGGAATTAATTTGAGCTAAATTTACAATCCATGACTCATGAGCTGGTCAAGGATGCCAGCTGTTAACGGGTCTTCCAAGAACCAAACCTGTAGAGCTCGAGGTTACAGTGTCCCATTTCAACCATTCGGGCATGCATTGCTGATAGGAACAGCTAGAAGATGATATTTGTGTGGTTCAGTGAAGAAATTGGATGTTGTGACACTATTTGTATATCTTGGCTATCGAAAGTCTATTGACCTTAAATAATATCCGGCCGACAGCTTTGTAAATTGGCACGGGAAACTTGGAATGAGAATTGCCATTACCAAGAAGTTTAGTCAAGTACCAGGTCATTCGGCAATTTTCAGCAGTTTCCGAAAACCTGAAATTACCTTGGTAATGAATGGAAGATTCTCGACAAGACTTTTTACTTCCGGAATTTCAACCCAGCTGTTTCACGTGAAATACCAGAATCATGTGAC